CAGGAATCAAGTGAGCCCCATCAGCCCTCGGTGCTGGAAAGACACTGCAAAAGGAGGCACCTATCTTCCTGGCCTGGCGCTCTTCTGTCTTGCTGTCAGTCTGCCAGCAGGTGGCTTCCCAGAGGTCGCATCAGCAACCTCTGCAGGCAGCTCTCCAGCAAGTGGCAATGACATCCTAGTCACAGCTTCCTGCACTTTCATCAGTGCTCCAGCAGGTGGCTTCCTGCTCTCCGGTCCTAGTTTGTGGCATTTCAATTAATCTCTCTATCATCTATTGGATATGGTCATGCCTGCCCTGATGAGATCTGAATCTCAGCCTGGTGTGGGGTTACAGGAGTTTAGGGGTCTGGAGAGTTCCTGGTTACTGTCTTAACAGTTAGTGGCTATTCTTCACAGTCACTGTTCCTATGTTCTTTAAATTCTCTTTACTTCTTTTAGGAGTTAATCCTTATTACCAGTTAGTAGTTTTTTATATTATCCTCATCCAGGTTTACGGTAAGTGGAGGCAAACGGTGATGCAGTGGTAAAATGTGACACTCGGCAAGGCTGACCCGCATAGGAAGGTTCCTTTTGCATCTGGAGACATCCTGAGTCCTAGAGCATGACACTCCCACACCCTGGGGCTGGCTGGGGGCTGGCTGGGGGTGGAGTGTGGCATCAAGACCCTAGTAGGGCTGCTGTTTCTCTCTCTTCTCTCACTCATGGGAGAAAAGAAGAAACTTAACAATGTTTTGTCTGGCCTGCTTCTGACTGAGTATTTCCTGCAGGTAGGCGACCTTAGTGCTTGTGGTGGCTCTATCACTTACTAGAAAAAGTCCTTTAACTGCTGAGCTTCGTTTTTATCCTTTAACAAAAGAAAAAGCAGCCTGCATTTAGAGTCAATTCCTATCAAATTGCCATCCCTAGAATGTTCTCCATGTGCCTATCAGTAAGAATTATCCAAAGTTACAAAAATCTAATAGACCTTCTCAAGACTAAGCAATAAGGAATGAATGAGTACATTTATGAGTAAAAACATGAAGTTTTTCTACTCCAGGGTTTTCAATCCTACATCTCTGTTTTACCTGAATCATGTGCAGCCCTTACTTCCCTACTGCTGGTAATTTAGTGAATTGGAGGACTCATCTGTTAAGTCTATATAGGCGCATCTAATCACTCCCATAAATACTCAGTACACGATAGAGTGCAAGAGCAGAAGAGTTTCACTTTACTGGAGTTCTGTCTTGTAACAGTCTTACAGTGAACTGTACCTAAACATGAGAGACGTCGCCCTCACAGTATCTTCAAAAGCTTATATTAAAGGGAACCAGCAGTTAGCATAATGGCTATGTCGTTGGACTCCCATGTAGTCGACCGTGGTTCGCGTCCCAGAACCGGTGGCTTAAAACTCACACCGGGCGCGTGTGCGTGCGTGCCCAAGATCCCAAGAGGAGAATGGAGGAGAAGGGATTGTGGCATGACCATACCCCCTGGGGGGTGATTTCTCGCTTTCTGTCTCTATGTCTCTATGTCTCTCTGGCAAGCGCACATGCCCTATAGCGAAAACCTCCCCCCCAAAAAACCCCAAAAAACCAAAAAAAAAAAAAAAAACCCCAGCTTGTATTAAAGATACTGAATATCACCTTTCAAAGTACCCAACACTGGCAACTGAAGGTGACAACAACTAGACCATATATATGCTGGTGGGTTTGAGAAAATACTACGAATTTCGTACTTCAACTCCATCATGCCTTTTTTCACATTATTTGAAATATGGTGTCAAACATATTTTAATTGAAGTTACTCATACCATTAAATAAATATGACATTTCTCACCATTTAAAGGGTTTCTATTAAACACAAATAAGAAGACACAAACATGAAAGGCTGATAATAGAAAATAAAAGCACAGCCCCGAGGGGAAGGTGTGACTATCAGTGAATGAACTAGGAGACCTGCACGCTTGCTAACACTTCTGATAGAGTACATGGCATTCATCTATGGAAACATCCCTATGTGATGTTAAGAAATGCCTATTCAGTATCCCGAGATTAAATAACAGTGAAAATATGTCTATCAAACATTTACATAAAGATTTTATTAACACTTCAAAATACATAGGATGTGAGGGCTCAGTGTGTATTTAAAAACTGTTGTAATATAGGAGGGCACTGTTACAAAGCCTTTACATGATGGTATGTTGCCGAAAATCAAGATGATAAAATTCAGGTCATTTACAGAATATGTCCAAGTATCATATCATATTTAAATTTATGTTCTTTAAACAATAACAATGTGAGATAAAGTTATTTTTAGAAAATACTGCTTTTGTCTATTGTTACCAATTCTCCTGTTTTCCTTTAGTTCCTTGGGCTACATTAAGGTCCATGCAATGTGCTCACACGTCAGTCTACACAACCGAGCACACTGTGTAACATGGTACTGTACATATCTACTGCTTCCTCCAGCTGTGGCAGTCTACACACCCGAGCACACTGTGTAACATGGTACCGTACATATCTACTGCTTCCTCCAGAGGTGGCAGTCTACACACCCGAGCACAGACTGTGTAACATGGTACTGTACATATCTACTGCTTCCTCCAGATGTGGCAGTCTTTTAGGATAGGTATCAGATATTCATGCAATATCTGTCACAAACAAGGAACTCAATGAACACCCTATAGAATGACGACTGTTACACAATTCTCCCAATATCTGTTAAGAAGAACAAGATGAAAAACTCGAATTCACCTCAATATCGTCTTGTCTATTAGGGATCTCAGCTGGGGAGGTGTGTGTTAAGGCATATTAGGTAGGACAACTCTTCACTGTATAAGTCGAACACATAGCCTGAAAGACAGTCAGCATCTCTGGCCCATCTACTAAGGGCCAGTGATAACCCACATCATTATAATCCAAAACGTATCCAGATATTCTAAATGCCCTCATTTGAGATTCACTGCCTTTGTAACTAACATATATGTATATTCATATATATACTTTAAGTTATATTACCTTTAAAATTTTATTATTTCTAAAGATTCAACTGAAATAAACAAACAAAAATACCTGGGACATGCCTTGTGGAATTGGTAAATTTGCAGCTTGAGACATCACTGGTTGTGTTAATGATGGACCAACAGACTGGGAATTTATGGACTAGAAGCAAAATAAAAATAATACTGAAGTGACGCTCATTCCCATACAAGAGTACTCCACCGGAACCACTCACATGACACATTTACTGCCGAACCTGGAATGTGCCTCATACTTTTCTCAGACGAGGACAGACCTGTGTCCCACTCTACCCTGGAAAGGCCTGCTCCCCATTTATCTTCAGCATCCAAGACACTTCCTACAGTGCTTGAACGAGCTGGCAATAAAAGTGGCTGGACTTAGCTGAAGGTGATTGGTATTTAAAGTCAGATATAAAGTGACTCTCCATTGTCAACTTTTCACAACTGACCAAGGGAAAAAACCTAACATTTTACCTGAAAAATACTTAAACGGACCAATGATTACGACAACCACTTCACAGGAAAAATAAAAGACCACGAAAAAGTGTACTATTTCAACAAGCTTTCTGATCTTTACAGAAAGTAGTAACTGATACATTTCTGAAGGCCAGGCCATTTTTTCCTTTTTAATAAGTTTTGATCTACAAGATGATGAACTGAAGTACTTACCTGACTACTAAATGATGCCCTTCTTTGTGCCATCTTTTCATGAGCTGGCAAATGCTGTCTGGGAGGAGTGCTAGTATCTGTTGGGATCTTTGTTGGTGTGGCTGAAGCGAATCAACAAAAACAGAATACCTTAGTACTTTATGAAATGCGGTCTTCAAAGATTAACCTCAAAATACATTTCACTAGTGATTTTTAAGTTATCTTTCTAAATCATTCACTAAAAATGAAGTTTGTGACAGTAAGGTAATTCATTGTAATTACTTTTTAGTTTTGAAGGACCAAAATAATGCATAAAATCAGAACACTTTGAATATAAGAACACTAATAAAATTAAATATAAATTAAACATAATTAAATATAGAAATACTAATTTTTTTAAAGAATTACTTTATTTAACTATATATATTTATTTAAATTTGACCAGAGAGGGACAGAGAGAGAGAGAGAAAAAGAGAAAGCAAGCCACCAGGTCTGGGACTCAAATTGCAGTCAGTCACGTGGGAGTTATGTGTCCTTAATCACCACTGCCACATGCCAGGGCCCCCAAATACTAACTTAATGACAATTATGCATCATGATTGCATCATAAAGATAAATCTTTTATTTTTTTCCTAATAGAGGTTTTTGCTTTAAGGCATGTTGTGCTCGCTGGAGAGAGAGAGAGTGACAGTGAAAGAGCAAGTGAAAAATTATTCTTCTCCTCCATTTTCCTCCTGGGATCTTGGGCACACAGGCACATGCACTGGTTGAGTTTCAGGCCACCAGGTCCAGGACTTCAACTGCAGTTGGCTATGTAGGAGTCCAGTGATGTCCACTATGTCATTTGGCTGGCCCCAAGATAAACTTTTAAAAGCAAACTGTTACAAACTTAAAGAACACTTATTGGCTATTCATTTACTTTTTTTTAAAAGAATAAATAGTTCTGCTTTCTTTCTGAGAGGTGATTGAAAACAATATCAACATTATCGTCTATCTACCTATCTATAGTTTTTATTTTTTTAAGAGTGATTTTTGCTACAGGGCATGTGTGCTTGCTGGAGAGACAGAGACACCAAAAAGTGAGAAATCAACTCCTCTCCCCCACCCAGGGGTGATGGCCACACCACAATCCCTTTCCCTCCATTCTCCTCTCAGGATTTTGGGCATGCACGCATACACATGCATGTGTGTGACTTTTAAATTGCTGGGTTCGGGACTTGAACTGCACTCGACTACATGGGAGTCCAGAGATGTAACCATTATGCCATCTGCTGGCCTCTCACCTATATATTTTATAGGCCACTTGATAAACTCAGTTCTTTGCTAAAGATAAACAATAATATGCCTCTTACTTACTGGAGAGGTTAATGTGTTTCAGAAATGTAAAAACATAATTTCAAAGAAGCATTAGATGAAAAAGCTGAAGCGTACACCAGAAGCATAAACCACTTAGCAGCACTGTCTTTAAAGAAAGTCTGCTTTCAAGCGAGGGTACTTACAGGAAGGGTCTGAGACTGCTGTGTGAGATGATTTTCTTGAACTCCGGGAGGAAGCGGAAGGGGTTGGGCTGTGATCAAACCTTTCCAATGCTTCCTTGAGACTGACTGTGTTTATACGATTATCAGACCCAGAATCTTGACTCTAAGGAGACAAAGTAAAATAAATGTTTTCTTGTGGTTTAGTTCAGAGATCTCAAACTAGCAATACTGTTCGCTAATAATAAAAAAATTTTTGGTTTTTACCTGTAACAAGACAAAAATTATCTATGTATATATTAGCTAAAGAAATGAAAACAGAGGCCAAGCAGTAGCACAGCGGCGGTATGACTGACATGGGAAAGGTTCTGGGCTGATGTCCTAGATCTCCCTGAGCATTCTGGGCATGCGTGTGCCCGTGACTGATGGAGACGGGGGTGGGTCACAGCACTGAAGACCTCTGGGGTACCTCTCTCTTTTTCTCTTATTATTTCTTTTAAAATCATTTTACTTAATTTTGTATATTATTATTATTTTCATTTATTATTATTTTTTAATTTGACCAGAGAGAGAAAGAAAGAGAGGGAAAATGAGAAAGTAAGCCACCAGGATCAGAACTCGAACTACGGTTGTCCACACATGGGAGTCCAGCGCCTTAAACACCATACTACCTGCTGGCCTCTCTGTCTCTCTTTCATGGAAGAGATAAATGAATAAACTCTTAAACTCTTTAGAGATTAAGAAGTTTTTAAAAATGTATTTATGATAGCCAGAAAATTTTGGCTTTGCTTTTTATTTAAAGAAAGAGCAAAAGAGGCCCAGCCTCTGTGGCGCAGCAGTAACATTAACAGTGCCCTGTGATGCTGGAAGCCATATGATGGCAGTAGCTCAGATGCTGGGTTGGCCTGAGCAACACACCGGGCATGTGTGTGGGTGCCCTGAAGAGCTGGTAGTTGGGGAAGGGAAATCCAACCCCACAAGAGCCTATCGAGGGTACTTTCTCTCCACCTCCTTCCAACTCGTGTGTGCATATACTGTTTCTTATCATTAAAAAAAATTAGAAGAGTAAAAGAACGAAGTTGGATTCTACCTTACACCATATACAAATATGAACTCAAAGTGGATCAAAGTCCTAAACATTAATAGCTAAAATTGTTAAACTCTTAGGAAAAAAAAATAGTTTTAGGACACTGGATTTGCTAATAAACTGGATTTAAACAAAATTATAAACTCTTTCGCCCCAAAGGACACTATCAACAGAGTGAAAACGTAAATACTTGCAACTCAATTGACCAATAAGGATTTACAATCCCCCACTCCTTGATATATATGCCCAAAAGGCATGTGATCTTGCTTTAAGAGAAAGAGGGAGAGAGAAAGCACCATCCTCCCACCTCGATGAGGCATGATCATGCCACAATCCCCTTTTCTCCTTTTCCCTATCTGGTAAGGATACTTGGCACACATGCACACACACCAAGCATGTTTTCTTTTTTCTAGAGACTTTTGCTATAAGGCGTGTGTTCCCACTGGAGAGACAGAAAATGAGAAATCACACCCCCCCCCGCCCAAGGAGTGAGGGCTACACTACAATCCCTTTTCCTTCATTCTCCTCTTGGGATTTTAGGCATGCGCGTACATGCGCCTAGCTTGAGTTTTAAGCTACCAGGTCTAGGTCTCGAACTGTGATTGACTACATGGGAGTCCAGCGATGTAACCATTATGCCATCTGCTGGTCCTACCTAGCATGTTTTTTTTACGCTGCTGGGGCCAGGATTTGAATTGTGGTCAGCCAAGTGAGATCCAGCTCCCAATGCATAGTGTTTAACCACTGTGCTATGGGGCTATCCACTATATATGAAGAACTCCTACAACTCAATATCAAAATATAAATCCAATTAAAAAATGGGCAAAGGACGATATATATATGAGACTGTCAGGAAAGTCATGACGCATTTTTCATAGAAAATGGACAACCCAGTAGTTTTCCAAAGATACATGGATGGTCAATAAGCACATGAAAAGGTGCTTATCATTATTAACCATTAGGGAAATACAAATCAAACCCACGATGAGATGCCACCTCAAACTCAGAAGGAGGGCTTTTATCAAACAAACAGAAAATAATGACATACACAGAGAAACTGGAACCCTGATGTACTGCTGATGGGAATGTAAAATTGGCATAGACAATATGGCAGTTCTTCAAAAAACTAAATATAGAATTACCATAGGGCCCAGCAATTTACTTCTGCATCTATACCCAAAAAGGGATGAAAGCAGGGTCATTCAAACAGATACTCATACACCCACACTCAAAGCATTATTCACAAAAGCCACAAGGTAGAAGAAGCAACCTAAGAATCCACTCAGACGAATGGAGGAGCAAAACCAGTATAGACATAAAATATCTTTATATTATATATAATATTATTTCTGACACAATCATGGCAATATAAAACGGAATGGTCACCGTCAAGACTAGAGGGACAGGGTAACTGGGACTTGTTCAATTAGCAAGGAGTTTCAGTTTGGGAAGATGAAAACATTCTGGACACAAGAGCTATATAGCAATGTGAATGTACTTGGTTACACTGAACTGTACTCTTAAAATTGTTGAAATGGTAAGTTTCATGTTACATGTATCTTAACACATTTTTTTTTTTAAAGAAAATGTTTTAAAAATAAAAGTTAACACAGGACCAGCAGATGGCATAATGGTTACGTTGCTGGACTCCCACATAGTCCACTGCAGTTTGAGTCCAGGACCCGGCAGCTTGAAATTCAAGCCAGGTGCGTGTGCGTGCATGCTCAAAATCTTGAGAGGAGGATGGAGAAGCGACTGTGGCATGGCCCTTGACCCTGGGGGGTGACTTCCTGTTTTCTGTGTGTGTGTCTTTCCAGAGACCACGAGTGCCCTTCAGCAAAAATTCCTCTCTGAAAAAATAAATAACTAAAAAATAAAAAGGAAACAATAGAATTAAGATGACATGGCTGGACTCATCGTGCAGCAGTTAAGCCCTGGGCAGAGAAAGCCAGAGGCCACTTGGTCAAGTGGGGTCTGAGTCCCAGCCTAGAGAATTGAAAAGCATGCCAGGCAAGTGGGCGTGTTCTGAGGATCCTGACAGGATGAAGAAATGGAAGAAAAACAACCTCTGAATGTTGCTCTCTCTCCCTCTTGCATGTGAACACCCGTAAACAAAAGAAAAAAAAAAGGAATAAAGATGTTATTTCGGTTTTTATACAAGGTACTGTAAGCAGTCTTGGAACTCAGCATTCAACTGTTGAAAACCTTCTTCACTCTAATTTTGACCTCTCTCCAGAACTTCAGTATCCTGTCAGATAAATCATCTACTGTCCTAGCCTGGCCTCTCAGCTTTCCATGAACTTCTTCTTACCAGTAACCTTTTCCAACCTCACTCAACATCAGACACTGCAGAGTCTCTAAAAGTACAAATAAAACACTACTGTAAGAAGCCACATTTTCCTATCCTTCTAGCTCACTTGCTAAGTTTTTTTTGGCAGGCTCACTTTCTGACTCTTCACAAGTACTCCTTACCTTTTCTACTAGTCTCAAGCCTGTCTTCCTCTTTCAGTTGACAGCCGTGTGTTACAGATGAGAGCAACTGTCTGGCGCCACCCACCTAACACAGCACATACACCAACACACCCATATTCTTTCCCTCCCCAGGACACCAAAGGCCCTCTGGAGGAAGAAGTGTAGAAACAAGTCCTGCAGCCACTCGGCAGAGCAGTGTGAAATGCCCCGCGCAGCAGAGCAGCGCCACACCGGACGGCCCCCCTGAGTACACCCGGTGTGCACATGCCCGTGATCCAGGGCTGGCTGCAGGCCGCACAGGCCTTGGTGCTGGGACATGCTGGTAGTGCAGTTTCTCGCCCACTCACCAAAGAAATGAGCTTTTTTAAGAAAATAAAAAAATCCCAAGTTCCTGTTCTTACTGTAGGGAAGCTACCTCAAAGGGGGAGTCACACATCACTGTATGCACACACATATACACACGTGTACACACACATACATGGACGTAACCTCAGCTACTTGTGCTATAAAGGGAGAAAGAAAACTCTCCCTCTCCTCTACCCTGCCTTGTGGCTCCTCACATCTTCTATGCTGTCTCCGTCTCCCACCACTTCTCAGTCTGGAAATCCTTCCACCTGCCCTCGATGTCTGTAAAAATGCGCTGGGATGATCGACCTGATCTCTGAGCATTTCTGCGCTGGCTCTCACCGAGGATACCGCTTTCCTTGTAGGTCTCTGATGGCAGCTGTTCTCTCTCATACAACCCTCAGACCACAGCTCTGGAGGTGACACAGAAGTCCTCCTACTTAACGTTTTCAGACCGTTTCCCTCCCTCCTTCTCCCTAACGTGCAGAGGCGAAGCTCACATTGTCACACTGTATTAAGTCATTACTTTTATTTTTTAAATACAGTGTGGGATATGAGCATCTGCCGGAGACAGAGAGAGGGAGAAGAGAAAGGGAGACGGCATTACTGCTGGGGGATGGCCATGCCACAATCCCTTCTCCATTCTCCTTCTGGGGTTTTGGGGACACATGCACATATGCCTGGCATAATTTTCAAGCCACTGGGTCTGGGATTCAAATAGCAGTCAGTCGCGTGGTAGTCCAGTGCCTTAACCACACAACTGCAGGCCCCGCAGCATGTTTTCAAGCTGCCAGGTCCAGGACTCAAACTGCGGTCAGCCATGTGGGGGATCCAGCCGCCTTAACCAACCTGCCACCTGGATGCCCCTTAACTCGCTATCTCTTGTTCCAGTCGTGCTGGGGACCGTGGGGTCCGCCCTCACAAAGGCCCTGAGTCACGTCAGCTCCTGGTCAGTATTCCCTTCGTTACTTCTCAATCCCAAGGCAGATGCAGTGCTACATCCAACGCTGCAACCTCTCTTCCCTTGAGTTCTCCTCCGAAGAGCCTGGTGCCCCGCTGTTCTCATTCATTCATTTTTAGAATAAACTGTCCGTAATCTCAAACATCTACTTGCCCACCATCTACCACATTCCTACCCATTCCCTTTAGTGAGTTCAGTCCTACAACCTCCTAGTTCTAGTGGAACCCCTACTACATTGACTACCACATCTTCACAACCACACTGTCGTTACCAACTTACCCAACTTACGTTCATGGTTCATTGTAATCACTCCCTTAGCTCTCATCTCCCTTCACCACATTTCTTTTGATGACATTCTGTATTATCAACCTCACCTCTGAACGGTTTAGCCAATGCTGGCTAGATCCAGTTTTCCACCTAGTTTGTGTCAGCTCCTGCATAGCTGAACACGGCTGAACACAACATGGCGACTGTTCTCACGTTAATGACCAAGGACCTCAAAGGGCTCTTATTCCACCACCGAGCAGTCCCTGAATTCCTGCAGCAGTCACACCCCTACTCTCCTACAACCACTTAGTACTTCTTCTCTCAAATCTCTGGACTCTCCTCCCCAGCTGCCTCTTGGCTGGTCACTTTGGACCCTATTTAACCGAGACCTTCTCCCAGTGCTGGATCCACCTACCTGCGAGCACTGGCATTCATCTCGTCTGACCTACTTCAGCTCAGTCTGACAAAGCCGGCCATTTACTCCTCACTGACACACTTTCTCTTCTCAGTTCCTAGGATCACTTCATTTCCTGGTTTTATTCTTGCCTCTCCTAACTGTTCCTCCTTGGTCTCCTCTGGGCTGCGTTTTCCTGTCTCCCTCATCTCTTAATGTTGAATGCCCAAAGCATTAATCCTTAGTCAGTTTTTTTTTAAGAGAGATTTGTGCTGTAGGACACATGCATTCACCAGAGAAACAGAAAGACAGCAAAAATTCACTCCCTGGGAGGATGGCCACGCTGCAATCCCTTCTTGTCCATTCTCCTCCCGGGATTTTGGGCACACTTACACATGCGCCCGGTGTGAGTTTAAACTGCCAGGTTCAGGACTTGAACTGCGGTTGACTATTCGGGAATCCAGCAGTATAACCATTACACCATCTGCTGGTCCCAGTCCTTGGGCATCTTATTACCCTCTGTTGACACCCATTCACTTGGTGATTCCATCAAGATTCCTGACTTTAAGACTATCTATCTATACACTGAGATTTCTCAAAAGTATCTTAGATAAACCTCTTTCCTAAACTCCAGGTGGATCATGGTGGCAATAATAAATATGGTGAAAAATAGACATAGTTGGGAGTATATTTTAGTAGAAAGAATAAGTGGCTTTACTAAGGAATGAATACTGGAGCGAGAACAGAAACAAGGACAAACGATCTCGGTATCATTTCTTTTTGGCTAGTAGGTACGTCCACTTGCCAGAGAGAGGCAGGGAGAGAGGAAGAGAAGAAAGCACCTCCCATGGGGGATGGTCGCCACAATCCCTTCTCTTCCATGTCTCCCTCCTTTCAGGATTTTGTGAATGCACGCATATGCATCTGGCATGTTTCTTAAGTCACTGGGTCCAGAATTTGAACTGTGCAGTCATGTGGCATCCGGCTGCCTTAAAAAACTAGGCCACAGAGCCAGTCCATTTCAATTTTTTTTTTTAAAGGTTTTTTGCCATAGGATGCATGTGTTTGCTGGAGAGACAGAGAGAGAGGGAAAGTGAGAAATCACCCCTCGGGGGATGGCTATACCACAATCCCTTCTTCTCCATTCTCCTCTTGGGATTTTAAGTATGCATGCACACACACCTGGCATGACTTTCAAGCTGCTGGGTCGAAGATTCAGACCACAGCCAGCCATGTGGGAATCCAACACCTTAACCACCACGCCACCTGTTGGCCTCCCATATCAGTTTTATAACTGCCACCATCAATGAACCTTGGAAACTTCAAGCACTTTTCTCAGAAAAGAATTTCTTTTACTAAAACATACTGATCCTCTTCCTCTAAACATAAGATTCTTCAGGAAGGTGCTTTCACATGGGATTTGTGACAGTAGGGAGCTTATTTCTGTAATTCAGAGCTGTATTCTCAGCATTAAAGTCACGCCTGGCACACTGAGAGTACTGAATAAGCTTTGTTAAACTGGCTGAACGATCATCCCTATGCTGTCCCCTGGCATGCTGCCAATTTCACTCACTCCTAATATGGTTTCATTCCAGTTTTCTGCAGGCCACATATACTTATGGGTAGGCAACTTCTTCGTTTTTATTTTTTTAAGAGAAGTTTTTGCTATAGGGCAAATGTGCTTGCTGGAGAGACAGTCAGAAAGCAAGAAATCACCCCCCAGGGAGGATGGCCACACCGCAATCCCTTCTCCTCTCAGGATTTTGGGCATGCATGCACATGTGCCTGACGTGAGTTTCAAGCTTCCAGGTCCATGACTCGAACTACAGTCGGCCATGTGGGAGTCCAGCAGTGTAACCATTACGCTATCTGCCGGTCCCAGGTAGGCAACTTCTACCGTGACTCACAGTTGATGCCTACTTCCTGGTATTCATGCCCTTGTATAATCTCTCCCCTCTAATGTAGGCTGGACCTGGTGATTTCCTTCAATGCTTAGAACCGACACAAAAAATGGTCTATTACTTCTGTGATTAGCTGACAAGAGACCAGGACTTCCATCAGACTGGATCTTCTTGCATGCTTGCTCTGATGGCAAGGGTCACCTAGAAAGAAAGTGAGGGTGGCCTCCAGCCATTAGCCCACAAGGAACCAAGGCCCGCAGTCCAACTGCCTTGAGGAATGGAATCAAGCCAGCAACCACTGAGTGATGTGGAAACACAGTCCACCTCAGATGACCCTTGAGATGAGTGGCCCTCACCAATACCTTAACTGGAGTTTCAAGGCAAATCCTAAAGCAGAGAGTAAAGCTACCCTATGCCTGGATTTTTTGTTTTCTTTTCTTTAGAAAGGTTGTTGCTATAGGGCACGTGCACTTGCCAGAAAGACAGAGATAAAAAGCAAGAAATCACCGCCCCACCCAAGAGAGGATGGCTATGCCACAATCCCTTCTCCTCCAGTCTCCTCTTGGGCTTTTGGGAACCTATAACAAGTGTCCAGCATAAGTTTCAAGCTGCTGGGTCCAGGACTCGAACCATGTGGAAGTCCAGCAATATAATCATTATGCCACCTGCTGGTCCTGTCTGGATTCTTGACTCACATTAATTATGAGATAGTAAGTGTGTGTTGTTTTACATTACTAACTTTTGGAGTAATTTGTTTTATAGTGACAGATTAAAAAAATAGATTTTTTAAAGAGATATTTTTGTTATAGGGTTCATGTGCTTGCCAGAGAGACAGAGAGTGATAGACACACAGAAAGCAAAATATCCCCGTTCAGGGGGATGGCCATGCAGCAATCCCTTATTCCCCATTCTCCTTTTGGGATCTTGGGCATACATGCACATACAATCAGTGTGAGTTTTAAGCCACAGGGTCTGGGACTCAAACTATGGTCGACTACGTGGGAGTACTGCAATGTAACCATTACACCACACCACCTGCTGTTCCCAACCAATACACTACACTTCTACCTGATATGACCAGAGTTCAAATTCTCATGATAACTTCTCAATCATATGTCTTCAGGGGAGGGTTTTTTTCCTGCCTTGTAATCTCAGTTGCACTATTTTCTTTTTTATTTTCTAATTTGCCAGACAGCATGTACTTTTATCAGAGACAGCGGCAAAGTGAGGAAGCACCCCTCAAAGAGCGTGGTCATGCCACAATCCCATTTCAGCAGAATAGGGATATGCCTACCAGATAAAGATGTGTAAAGGAGTAAATCACATTTCATAATTCATATTAAAACTCTTAGAGTCAGTGCACTACAAGCATTTAATAATTGGTAGTTTTAATCTGAGATCAGATATATATTTCTCTCTTTTTAAAATTATTTTAATTTTATTTATTCACCATTTATTTTCATTTGGCCAGAGAGAAAGAAAGCCACCAGGTCTGGAACTTGAACAGTGGTTGACAATGTGGGAGTGTCCAGTACCCTAACCACCATGCCACCTGCTGGTCCCCATGAGATCAGATACATATTTCAACTAACTACTGCTAATGGGCAGGACCTTCGATCTTATTTTAGAAGCAGATTAGATTTTAAAATAGTAAATTAAAAATATAAGTTAACAGCAAAGTGTAATCACATCCTTGTCACAAGTGAGAAAATTATATATTTGAAAAAATAATTTCCCTGTCAGATAATTGAGTCTTGTCCTTCATCGGGAAGAAATAAATGATTTTATTTATTTATTTTTTTGAAGAGGTTTTTTGCTACAGGGCACATGAGCTTGCCAGACAGAGAGAGACAGAAAGTGAGAAATCACCCCCCCAAAGGGGATGGCCACGCCACAATCCCTTCTCCTCCATTCTCCTCTTGGGATCTTGGGCACACACACATATGCACCTGGCATGAGTTTAAGCCACTGGGTATGGGACTCGAACCATGGTAGACTACATGGGAGTCCAGTGACATAACCATTATACCAACTGCTAGTCCCTGAAATAAATGATTTTTATAAACTATAAGAAACATACTTTGTCAGCAGCTGTCTCAGGAAGAGACTCTTCAATGCCCAGCTCTCGTCGTCTTTCAGCCCTAACTTCTGCATAACTACAAACAAAAAAAAGTCAAGTTAGTGCTCGATCATTGGTTTAAAATGCCGTAGAGCAGTAACCATTCAGGGTTTGCCATGTCTCATTTTCTCACCACTAATTCTAGACTATTTTCTACGCTCCTAAAATATATATATATCAGCATTTTTCTAGGTATCTTCAAGTTTTATATGCTCCTGTAAATGATAAAACTATTATAAATGATAACTTAACTACACAGTACTAAAATTAAGAGGAAATAAATAAAGGAAGCGTATGCTTGTCTACCTCAGCTTTCCTTTTACATGTTGACTGTGGTACACGAATGACAGTTAAAACTTCTGCTGTAAAGTCTAAGGTTTATGTCAAGCACTGAATCTGCACTATACCTACAGTATATTTCTATGTAGTGGCTAGAAGCAAATTCAACAATATACTGAAGAACGTATTTTAAAAAAAGAGATCACTTTGTAGTTTATTAACAAATTATGTGTAAAAATTACCTTGCCAAAATTATTCTAGGATGTTACTAAACTTTCGAATTCTCAAAGAGCATTACCTTACTACAGTGTGAGTACAGACAATGAACTCCGGCCTTGAATTCCACTGGTGGTACGTGATGTAGTAATGAGTCTGGAGCCATATCCACTGCTGCCCTTTGGTCAGGAACCTGTAATAACACGATTTGCCTTTCCCATACTGCATTACTAAAAAGAAAAGGGAAACATATTTTTCTTTGATCCATATTATTAGTTATAAAGAATCTGTTTCTTTTTTTAACTGAAAAGCTATAGTTTACATTTAGATCAACATATGTAATTATTTTTCTGGCTTTTCAGTAACATATATATGTGAATTATAAGAAAATGCTATTATTTAGCATTGTCTTAATGATCCAAGCAATTAACATACCTTCCACAGTGACAATTGAGAGTCAGTTACTGATAAACCAAACACACACTTTTCATACACAAAAAAATTCCAAATACTAAAGAATTCACATTGCTAGGGCCAACAAATGGCAGAGTGGTTAAGGCACTGGACTCCCATATGGCCAACTGTGGTTCGAGTCCTGGACGCAGAGACTTGAAATACACCAAGCGCGTGTGCGTGTGTGCCCAAGATCACAAGAGGACAATGGAGGAGAAGGGACTATAGCATGGCCATGTCTCCTGGGGGAGTTAATTTTTCACTTTCTCTCTCTGTCTCTCTGGCAAGCACACATACACCCAATAGCAAAAATTGCTCTCTCAAAAATAAATAGATAGATAGATAGATAAAAGAATGCACTGTTGACTTCCTCCTGACTGGACATACTGAGGATAACAACAAGAGGTAATTGTGTCTGAGTTTTTTTTCCTGCAGATGTAATTTTGAGGCATTTAATTTTGAATCATAACTCACCAAAGTAAGAATCACTTCACTGTTGGAAGTAATTGTTTAGTGCAGTATTTCCCAAAGCATGTTCTGCAGATTTTAAGTTTTGAACCCTTTAGCAGATGGTTGAGCAAAAAATGGATTTTATGGTTAAATTACTGGGTCATCGGGAAAGCCATGACACAGGTTTTGCATAGAGAAAACATAGGAAAATATGTAATGACTTTCCCGGCAATCTAATAATCTAGGTAACTTTTCATTAAATAAGTTTCTTTAGTCTTCTCAAAACCTTAAGTATGTTGATGTATGTGAAGATTCTCTGAGAGAGATTATAAGTTTCCCAGTCTTCCTTAACCATGAAATCCTCTTTTAAGTCAATGGAACAAACCTTAGGAAATGCTAGTTAGGAATCTCTCTCTTTTCAATGAAGAAGTCAAGGTTTACATTCAGTTGCTTGTCGAAGTCACTCAGCTAGTTAAAAGTGTCAGGTCTTTTTGCTACCTCTTGGTGCTTAGTGTCCACATGACTTAGAGTGAACAGTATTTTTGTTTGTGCTGAAAGGACTTGACTCTAAAAATTTTCCATATAGTTGATACTATTTTATCACATGCTTTATTTTCAAATAGAAAGCTTTCAGAGAGCTACACAAGACATAATGAAAGCATCTTAAGTATCTAAATAAGCTTTAGAGAACACCCAAGAATGTAGGATTTGCAGGGAGGATCAAAGAAACAAAAACCTATTCAGTAAAATAAAGAACGAATAGCATGATGGAGAGGTAGACCTGAATTCCAATTCTGTCTCCGCCATCCTGCGCTATGGATTCGTGCCTCAGTTTACCACTCATGGAGATAATGCTATGATAATATCTACCTTTTAGAACGGCAGAGATGAGTAAGAGACAAGTACATGGAGTGCTGAGAACAGCAGCTGGCACTGTAAAATGAAAATGCTTCAGCTGCTGCCAAAACACACGGCAGGCAACACCGAGCACTTGCTAGGAACTTTCGAAAGCAGATTCTCCAAGCTGATGGAAAAGACTTAAGTGCTTGGAAATAAAAATTAATGACACAATATTCCAATAGTCCATACACTACTATTGTTTTCAAAGGAATCTACTTCAGTCCAGATGAAGAGCGCATAAACTTCAGAACAAAGAGTTTTAGATGTCACATTTATAAAACTGCATACTATAAAAATAGAAACACGTGAACTAGAAATAAGTTTACCCTGAACTTGATTTATGATTCCTACTAGATCGGTTATACATATAAAGTGAAACTTCTCATACATTTAAAAATGGTTATAAAATTTACCACCTTCCACTAATAGGACAGGATTCTATTTATAGGCTTTAAAAACCATTGTCATCAGAAATATTAAAATCAACTTACAGTGCTCATGACATTTTGCCAAATTTTCTAGGTCATCCACATGATAGTAATCATAGCCTGATGTTCCCAGAACTTCAAATGGCAAATATCCTATGATGGGTGGTGCCCTAAATTACATATAAAATAATCAATGTTATAACATTTTCCATAATAAGAAATATTGCAACTAGAAATCAATTTTGGGGAACTTCATTTTTTTAAAAACGGATAATGGATTTAAAAGTCCTGATTTTAAAAAAACCTTGTCCTTGAAGCCCATTCATTATTAGAATTATATAACATGGCTATTTTTTATGGAATTGAAAAATGGAGTTACCTGTGATCTAGAAATAGAAACTTCCATTCTAAACTATGTCTAGATGTAAACTCTTCATTGGGTTCTTCAACAGTGCACATTTCCTACAAATAAATTAATAATTACAATTCAGCAATACTTTCCTATATCCTTAGAAGAATCCTAAACATTGCTAGACATAAGTCATTATTAGGTAACTTTTCCCTAAACAAAATTTTTAACACTAATTTTTCTGGTCCTGAAGAATGTGGCAATAAATAATCCTTTGATGCAGGTTTCTGGATACTTCAAACTCTACACATTCTCAATTCACTTACATGTCCATAAACCCTAATTCTGAAATCAGATGTTTTTCCTAAATTACAATCTCGTATTTCCTTTTTAAAAAAAATTTGCCAGAGGGTACATGCACTCACCTAATGAGACGGAAAGTACCCCCTTAGGGGGCACAGTCATGCCACAATCCTATCTCCGCCATTCTTCCTTTTAGGATTCTGGGGGCAGCCATGCACATGTGCCTGGTTTATTTCCCAAGCTGTGGGTCTGGGACTCAAGTGGTGTGGTCAGGCATGTGGGATCCAGTCGTCCTCAGAACCATGCCACTAGATGTCCCAAAGTTCCATATTTCTAATCGCCTGATGTAAGCTTAGTATGTCCTAAAATAACTGCCTTACTCCTCCCTTATAGCCAGTTACACAATTTCCATCTCACTAAAGGACACATACTTGTGTAGAGGTAGAGAGTCTAGTAATCTGATAGTCACAACACACTGTTTTTACCTTTAACCATCTAAATGGTCACTAATAAATACTTATACTTTCATCTAAGTACGAAGTCATTAGGAAAGTCCTAACATATTTCTCTATGCAAAAATGTATCATGACTTTCCTGATGATCCAATATTTAAAAAATCTATTCCAGGGCCAGCAGGTGGAGTGGTGGTTAAGGCTCTGGACTCCCGCATGGCTGACTGCAAAGTCTCAGACCTGGCAGCTGGTTTCTCACGTTCCCTTTCTCTCTTTCACTCTGGTCAAATTAAAATAATAATAATAATAATAATGAATTAATTAAATAATTCTTAAAAAAAAGAGAGAGAGCAAGACTGGTTTACAACCTTCTGATTGCTAATTCAGTACTTTGACTTAAACTATGGTGTCCACCTAAATTTTAAATCTTAGCCTGGCTTTTTTCCAGTTGCTTTCTAGTGGTGTTATTATTTTACTTTCCCACTTTTATTTTTTAAATTTTACCAAAGGGTATGCACTCTCACCAGAGACAGAACGGGTGGGGGGAAGTAAGAAAGCACCCACCACGGGGAATAGCCACACCTCAATCCTTTCTCCTCCATCTCTCCTTCCTTTCAGGAGTCTGAGCGCATGCAAACACACTCAGCATGTTTTTGAAGCCCCTACGTCCAAAACTCGAACTGTGTGGTCAGTCATGTGGGATCCAGCCTCCTTAACTACCATGCCACAGGCTGGCCCCACTTTCTCACCTCTCTGCTAATCATCTACTTGTTGGACCCAGGAAATAAAAATAGATTATTTAAATTTTAAAATTGAAAAGGTAAATTATATGTAATAGAAAACATTTTGTATTTCAAAAGAAAATTTCAAAAGCAACCTTTTAAAAATTACCTAGATTTTCTGAATTTCACTTCCCCTTTAATGAAGACAATGATTTATAAACAAAAGCATCCTAAAATTCTGCACGAAAGTAGAGCAAAGGTGATATATAACCACTGGCTAAACCACAAAAAATATACACTAAAAAAATTACTAATAGTTACATAATTAATGAGTGTCTCAATAACTTGTTCTTTTTGAAAAACGACCATGCATATTTAATGAATCACAGTCATTACTATTTCAATGCTTGCAGGAAGTTTCGCTCATTCTGAAAAAAACAAAAAAATTATATAAAGAATTATATATGGGACCAGTGGATGGCACAGTGGTTATATCGCTGGACTCTCATGTAGTTGACCGTGGTTTGAGTCCTGGACTCGGAGGCATAAAACTCACACGGGGCATGTGTGCCTGTGTGCCCAAAATCCCGAGAGGAGAATGGAGAAGAATGGACCGTGGTGTGGGTATTACCCCTGGGGGGGAGGGTGACTTCTCGTTTTCTGTCTCTCTGTCTTTCCAGTAAACACAAGTGTCTGATAGCAAAATGCTCTCAAAAACAAGAAAAAAGTTCTCTAAGATGAACAAAATTTCCCTTTGAGAAATAAAATTAGAACCATACCTTGATGAACTGAGGTGTAGCTAACCTGACAGTAGCTACAAAACAAACTCTATCTTCAAAAGAAGGCCTATGTGTGCGTTGAATAGTTCCTTCAAAACCATTGTGTGCTGAAGTGGATACTAAAATAAGGAAATACATATCATCAGTTACTCCGGTAAAACTACTTGTCAGACATTTCAACATCTATGTCTTTAAGAGCTTAGAAAATACTAAGTTAAAATATTTTATAAAAGAAGCATTTTAACTCACCGCTGTTTAAAGATTTGAAATTACCTATAAACTTCACATATTCATAGGTAGACGGCTCCTTTGGATCTATTGTTCCTCGAAGCATATGACAACAGAATTCTAACTGATTTTTTGCTGAAATAAGAAATAAAAAGCCTATCACTTGTGACACATCACAATGAACGATATACCACATGAAACACGGCAACAAAATTTGTGTACGTCTACAACCATTATTTTCTCAAACAGAAGTCCTCAGCACGTTTTATTTAGTCCGAAAAAGTGGAGTACCGTAATGAGGTGACCTTTGACCTTAGCAGAGGAAGCAGATCATCTGGGACAAGCAGCTTGCGTTTCCCCATTTCATCTGCTCCTCCTTCCCGGTTCCCTTTCACCCTAAGATGGAGGTGCTTCCCCTCTAGAGCTAACACCCCAGCTCCGCCTTGCACAGCCTCCCCTGCCTTCCCTAGGAGCAGGCCACTCCGGTTATCCACGCCTTTCGCATCTACACATTCTCTTCTCGGGACGTCCTTTCTACTTCTGAATATGCTCAGGTCTTCCCATCTCCAACAAACAAAGGGTTTCTCATGCTAATATTTTTAGTATCATAGACCTCCTTTTTCATTATATGCTTCCGTTTTCACCTACAGCCATGCACAGCATAATGAAATTCTGGTCAATAATGGACTGCAGATACGGCAGTGGCCCCTAGGGAGCACGGGCTACCGCCTGCAGCGGAGGTGTACAGTAGGCTACGGCGTCCAGGTTTATTACACTCAGTTCACACCATGAGCAGAGCTCCCAAGGATGCATAGCACGGCCCCATCACTAAGCCACCATGACCGTATCATCAATTCCCTTCATTGCATGAACTGCGGTCTCATCTTCATGCTTCCACAGCAATTAGTCAGACAATTACTAATCTTAGCGTCATCAACCTCAATGTGTTTTCCTCATTGTTTCTACCGCTTCTCGGACTCACATTTCATCATCCCCATACCACGAAATTCCTTCCTTCTTTACTGACTATTCTTCTCTTCTGCTAATTCTTCCTCAAACTAGGAGCTTTCACAAAGGCTCTTCTCATCTTGATCCTTTGCTATTCTTTTTGAACTAACTGGCCTCGATAAACTTCTTCGCTCCGAAATCTGTCTCCAACATAGAGCATTATATGTAAGACAACGTTTTATATCACTATTTGCTTTCAGAGCATTTTCACTTAATTGTCCCATCAGTAACTTAATCAAAATATTTGGGAGTGAATTTATCCCTCTTTCTCCTAAGTCACTGTCCCTTTTTACCCTACGTATGCTTATTTCCCAAGTTAGAACCTTGATCAATCTGATGTCTCCTCTTCCCACACAAGGCCCAGATCTAACCCGTTGGCATCACCTGCTACTTATTTCGCCAGTGGCGCTCTCAGAAGCCAGTTTTCTGTCTGTGCTGTTAGTTCGGCGCAGTCACAGATTACCGTCCATCGGGGTAAATGCACTCTATGCTCGCTGTGCCGCCTCCTCTGCCACCGTGCTGCATCCTGGCTGTCTCCTGTCACAGACCCGGACAGCTCTCCTCACATTTCAGCGCTCGAGGACGAGGAACTTCCCTTCACTAGCTACATCAAGCTCGTGCTCTTCTGCCATTAGCATGGCAGCTGGCTTTCCCATTGACGCGACAGGTTCAAAATCTGCCTCCTTCCCCAAACCCTTCCCACTGATGATCCTCGCCACCTGGCCGCCTGTGCCTAAAATCAAGTCCTGCTGAGCTGATTTACTTCACACACACATACTTTCCCCTCCATCCTTACTTCTACTGGTAGAAGATTAGTTTTTCTTTTGGTCCCAAGTCTGCTTCTTTATCATTTTGCCAGAGACTTTTATTCGGTTCTCCAGCCAATCCTGCCCTCCAGAGGGTCTTAAAAGCAGACTCCTTGTGTTTGTTCTACCACCGCTGCCTTCCAGGGTGTCAGCTTTCTAGTTCTGCTCTCCTTGTCCCACATCTGTACCTCAGACATGACATTCAAATGCTAACAGGACAGAGTGGTTTTACATCTATCATACACATGCAATAGAGAGAGTCTACATCTATTATACCCGCCCAAGTCTTTTCCTACATATCAGACCAGAGTGGCCAACTGGTTCAATGAATACAAACTTTAAAACATTATGAATATGCTTCAAATGAATTCTCTGGGCCTCTAATTTTTCTCAACTTCCTCTGAAAAGGTACTCATTTTTATTAAAGATATACATATACACCCTTACAAGCTCTATTAGGTCACGGGAAAAGACATGATGCATTTTTCTGTTTTTCTATGCAAAAATAAATCATAACTTTCTTGAAAACCCAATATATGTACAGGTACATGTGTGTGTGTGTGTGTGTGTGTATATATATATATATATAGATACTTCAATTCTAAGACTGTGATCTACAGAATCTGAGGGCTCACCAAAAAAAGACCTTTAAGATAATTAATGTCAGTATTATCAGACAAGACAAAATTTTAAAATCACTTAAAAACTGATTAAAGAAAATATCTAATATCTAATTTCAGATTTTACAAAGGCTAATATAATAAAGAAAAGGAGGTGCTCTAGTCAAATTAATACACCCAATGAACCTAGTAGAAACTTTGATTATACCGTAATATTTTGTGTTTCTTAATGGTAGGAACACTTTTTCTTAACAATTCTTGACTTTTATGTTATAGAACAAATCCCTGGTACAGTAGATATATCCAATAAACAGCTATTTAATTCTGTTTAATAAAGCAGACAACTATCCTTTTCTTAATAATTTTTTAATATAAATTTATTATTATTTGTTTTGATTTGACCAGAGAAAGACGAGAGAGAGACAGACAGACAGACACAAAGTGAGAAAGCAAGCTACCAGGTCCAAGACTTGAACCCTGGTCAGCAACGTGGGAGTCCAGCATCCTTAACCACCACACCACCTGCTGGCCCCGACAACTATTCTTTTTATTTAATCATTTTAAAAGAAGTTTTCCCCCCAGATTTATAGAGTCAATTGGTGAAGTTCCATCTTTACTCATATTATAACAAACAAGTAAGATCCCAATGTATTCTCTAATACATCTTGGACTTTTTTTAAAAGAAGAATGATTTATGTGGGGCCGGAAGGTGGCATAGTGGTTAAGGAACTGGACTCCACATAGCTGACTGCAGTTAAGAGTCCCCAACCTCGTGGCCTGAAAATCATGCTGGATGCATGTGTGTGCATGCCCCAAATCCCAAAGGAATGGAGAAGAAAGGACTGTGGCATGGCCATCCCCCAGGGTGGTGATTTCTCACTCTCCCTCTTATTGTCTCTGTCTCTCTCATCAGCAAGCACACATGACCTATGGCAAAAACCTAATCCAAATATAATTAATTTTATTTATTATTATTATTATTTTTTAATCTGCCACAGGGCACATGTGCTCACAAGAGAGGCAAAGCAAAAGAAAGTGAGAAAGCAATTCGTCAGGTCCAGGACTTGAACCACCTTTGGCCATGTGGGAGTTCAGAGCCTTTACCACCACACTACCTGCTGGTCTCATCTTGAATTTTTATTTTTTCATTATTTACTTTTATTATCATTTTTAAAAAAATTGCTATGGGGCACATGCACTCATGAGAGAGAGAAAACGTGAGAGAGAAAGTGAGAAAGCAAGCCTCCAGGTCTAGGAATTGAACTGCGATTGGACAGGTGAAAATCTAGTGCCTTAACCACCATGCCACCCGCTGGCCTCCCATCTTGGAATTTCAATATGGTCACAGTTATCTGTATATAAAAAGGTTCTAGCTCTGTGGTCTGATGATTAAACAGCCAGGATCCCACAGGCCAACCACGAGATTCAAGACCCAGATCTGACAGTTTGAGAAATAAGGCAGGGATTTGTGTGTGTGTGCCCAAAATCCCCAAAGGAGAGAGAAGAGACTGCAGGGTGACCGTTCCTGAGGGGTTTGCTTTCTCCTCTACCTCTGGCACGCACCCTCTAGCAATAAAAAAAAAAAAAAAAAAAAAAAAAAAAAAAAAAAAAAAAAAAAAAAAAAACAAGGCTACAATAGGGTATATGGAATAATGCTATATGTTAATTAAGTTAAATATGTCTATGTTTTTAATAAACTTGCAAAAAGTAAAAGATAATAATACCAAATATAACATATGACTTTTTGTTTAACAGCTGCTACTTACATTTTAAATATTCAGGGGTTAATGAATCACTTTCCAGCAGATGGGTAGAGAGTATTTTATAAACCTCTGAATGTTCCCCCTCTGGGATAAAATTAAATATACTTTGATCCACAAGATCAGACTGCAAAAGAAATTTTAAAAAGTAAAACAACTTTTAATGAGCCAAGACATGCATATAATCACTACTAAACAACAGAGGAGCACACAGTTAAGTTTCAATTATCTGTGAAAACCAACGAATGTCAAGATACAGGCCGTGTAGACTGGGAAAGGAGAAGGTCAGCACCACCTGCCTGTCTCGGATACTAGCGTCACCAGATTCGTGATCAACAGGGCCTCGAGAGCCTGATATAAATTACTTGCAAAGCAGATATTGCAAACCAAATTTGAACATTTGAAATACAGCATGACGAAAAGTGTTAATCAGAAGAATTTCTAACTCCCAGGTGCAGGCTTGCCACACAGTCAACCCTAGGTGAACGACGGTGAGCGTAGGCACAGGTCAAATGAGGACGAGATCTGACTTTGGAGTCACTGCAACTGTCCAGTGTGCCCCTCCTTTTATATTTCGTATTTTCCAGGCACCTATCCTGTATCTCACTGTCAAAAAGCCTTGCTTATTGCGACTCCCTCCCTGAAAAAGGACAACTAATATAGTTAGCATTACAATTCTCACGAAAATATGGCTTTAATCATGACTCATCAATCAACGGGAATCTACAAACAGCAGGCTGCCTACAACGTGCCACGGCCATAGAATCAAGGATGAATAAGGCAGTCCCTATCTCTAAATACCACCCACCGCAAACCTCGCCTTTCCTACTGCATCCAGGCCGCTCCCCTTGGTTTCTCTATCTTTTCACAGTGCTCAGTGGAGCCCTAGGGATACTGCAGTGCTATCTGAAGGGCACCGTGGACGTCAGCGCAGACCGGAACCGAGACCAGGGTGAAGGGTCTTTCCTCCAGTGCACAACCAAAGCAGTTCCACTTTTATTCTGCTGGTGTTTTAAACATATGTAAGATTTTCTCTGAAGAGCTCTACTACTTAAAAACCAAAACTATAACATAAGCAATTAATAAGAGAGAGCTACTGCAGCTAGTGAGAGGGAAAGGGGTGTTTTACTGTAATCCTCCCCACGAGCCACACATTCCCATTCTTTTACTTCTTTTCCCGAGCCCTCATTGTCCACTCCATGAAGTGGAACCACCTCCCCCCTCCCACCACATTACTGCAGTTCTCATCTTTCAAGTGCCAGGGCAAATTATTTCCTTCAAAAAAGCATTCCCTAGAATGGAGGAGAAGGGATTGCAGCGTGACCATCCCCCCTGGGGGGGGGTGTGATTTCTCGCTTTCTGTCTCTATGTCTCTCTCTGTCTGTCTGGCGAGCGCACGTGCCCTATAGCAAAAACCTCTCCAAAAAAAAAAAGCATTCCCTTAGGTGGAGACATGGAGGGGAGGGCTTGCAGCATGACTGTGCTACATAGGGGAGGGGGCTGCTTTCTCGCGCGCTCTGTCGAACACTCACACCTTCCGGGGGGAAAAAAAAATAAAGCATTCCCTTAACACCATAATGCACAGTAAAGATAATAAAATTCTTCTAGTACTTACTACTCATATCATTCATTTCCCATTGATCATAAAAGAACTTGTTATATTTTAATGTCAATGTCCTGCAGTCCCATAAATGAGCAAAAGGGTCCTATCTTTTTTTTTTTAGAGGTTTTTGCTATAGGGCGCGTGTGCTCGCCAGACAGAGACAGACAGAAAGACAGAAAGTGAAAAATCACCCCCAGGGGGGAGAGCCATGCCACAATCCCTTCTCCTCCGTTCTCCTCTCGGGATCTTAGGCATGCACGCACACGCGCCCGGCGTGAGTTTTAAGCCACCGGGTCCGAGACGCGAACCACTGTCGACTACATAGGAGTCCAGCGACATAGCCATTACGCTAACTGCTGGTCCCAAATCTGTATTTTTACAAGGGATTCTTCTAGAAGTCTGAAAAGCCTCTTGAACTGAAGGAATGAATGAAAAATTCGGGCATAAACAAAAATACAAAATTGCCTTTTACTGACAAAATATCAAAATAAAGGATTGATAGTAATGCAAAAAAACAGCCTTGAAATAAGAACTAAAACGTTCATTTTGAGAATGATCCCAGTTTTCCACTCTGACTTCTTACTAGCAATTTCTCCTCCTGGCACTGCTTCAGTAAACAGACCTATGTCGCCCCTGCTTGTCGGCCCACAAGCTCACAGGGTGCTCCTTACTCATGGGGAAAGAGGACCAACAGTTAGCACGGAGAGCATGATCTCACAAGCACTGCTCCCCACTGGCTGCTTGTCCTGTCACCGATCTTCCACTAACCACGACACCTAAACCTTTCCACGAGGCTGCTCGAGGACAAAGTTACCGTAACGTCCACTTACAATAGTTCCCAGACACAACCCAAAGTGAAGACAAGACAACGACAGCCTCCTGGACTCTTTCATCCACATCAGTCATTTTCATGAAGGAAAAAGTCCTGCTTATGACATGAATCCAGAGCTTTCTGGGTTTTCCACATTAGGTCAATGTTACCATTTAGGGAAAATGATTAATTATCACCAATGATCTTTTCCCTCAGTTGGACAACCAACCATTAAACAAAGGACTCTTACAGAGGACAGTTGCTTAAAAGGGACTGAAAGATCCTTTGGAAAAGTCCTGTTTTAGATGTAACATGTTTTTAAACTGTGTTCCTTATTTACAAGCATAATGGACAAACATTATGGCCCTAATAATTAACCTTCGCTACCATCATGTTATCTATTGAAAAGACCCTATTTCTGCCCACTGTAATTCTTTTTTCAGGTTTTTGCCATAGGTACATGTACCAGAGAGAGACAGAGAGAGAGAAAGGGAGAAATCACACCCCTGCCCCCAGGAGAATGGCCATGCCACTATCCCTTCTCCTCCATTCTCTTCCAGGGATTTTGGGCATGCATACATCAGAATCTGGTGTGATTTTTCAAGCTGATAGGTCCAGGACTCAAACCACAGTCAGCCATATGGGAGTCAAGCACCTTAACCATCATACAACTTGTTGGCCCCTGTCCACTATAGTTTCTTTCTTTCTTTTTTTTTTAATCACCCCCAGGGGATATGGCCACACTGCAATCCCTTCTCCACTATTCTCCTCTCTTGATTTTGGGCACATATGCACATGTGCCCAGTGTGAGTTTTAAGCCACCGTGTCCAGGTCTCGAACCATGGTTGACTAACGTGAGAGTCAAGCAATGTAACCATTACACCATGTGCTGGTCCTGTCCACTGTAGTTTATACCGAAGACTATACTAACTTCTTTTTAAAATTATTTTTTTATTTCATTTTTTAAAAATTTATTTATGTTTTGAGAGGTTTTTGCTACAGGGTGCATGCGCTCGCTGGAAAGACAGAGACAGACAGACAGAAAGCAAGAAATCACCCTCCAGGGGGGATGGCCATGCCGCATCCCTTCTCCTCCATTCTCCTCTCGGGATCTTGGGCATGCACACACACACCTGGTGTGAGTTTAAGCCACCAGGTCTAGGACTCGAACCGCAGTTGACTACATGGGAGTCCAGTGACAGCCATTATGCTAACTGCCGGTCCCCCCAAAATTTCATCATTATTTTTTAATTTGATCAGAGAGAGACAGAGAGAAGCAGGGGGAAAGTGACTCGGACCGTGGCTGACCACATCAGAGTCCAGCACCTTAACTACCAGGCCACCTGCTAACCCTTATACTTACTTTCTTTTTTCTTCTTTCTTTTCTTTCCTTCCTTTTTTTTTTCTTTCTTTTTAACTGACTTTCTGACTGACTCTCTCTCTCTTTCATTGAGAGGTTTTGGCCTTGAGGTGCATATGCTTGCCAGAGAGAGAGAGACAGAGAGAGGGACAGTGAGGAATCATCCCTCAGAGGGGTGGCCATGCCGCAATCCCTTCTCCATTCTCCTCCCAGGATCTTGGGCAAGCACGTATATGCACCTGGCCCGAGTTTCAAGCCACTAGCTAGGGCTTACTGCGGTCAGCCATGTGGGGAGTGCGGCAACATAATCACCACCTGCTGACCTTATACTAACTCTTAAAGCACAGTGTCTAGTTTCCAGACTGGGAAGAGTGGAAAAGAAAAGGCTTCCAGGATTCTAACCATGGCACTGCAGTTCTGGGCTCCTCTGGGTTACTCTACAGTCAGTCACATTCCCCACCCTGCATAGTTACAAATGTAAGTCTCTCTCAGGAACACATTAAAACAAATGTAAAGACACCAACCTCAAGCAGTAACATTTTAACAAATCTGAAGCTAGCAGTAAAGCTAGAGACTTTGCACTTTAGCATTTCTACTAAAGTGCTGTATAGTTAAGTTCAACTTCTCTAAATTTTATGTTTCTTGCTGATAATGTCAAGGGGTAAGCTATGATCTCCAAAATATCTCCTGACATTCAAGTATATAACTTTAAGATATGTCACAGAAAACCAGATGAAGAGGAAAAAACAGATTTTGTTCTCAGTCACAAAGTGACTAAAGCATTTATGCTGGTTTGTTAGCCAAAAACATGTTAAAATGTATCTAAATCAGTTTTATTATGAAATTACTTAATTTTCAAGTACAAGTAACAAAGCTAAGAAAATGTTATTTGCTGGCAAGGCTTACAATCAGTTTTGTGATTTTATATATTTATTTTATTATTATTTCACATGAGTTTGGTCAGAGGAAGACAGAAAGAAAAAGAGAGAAAAAGCAAGCCACCAGGTCTGGGACTCAAACCATGGTCAGCCATGTGGGAATTCCAGTGCCTTAGCCCCCACACTACCTGCTGGCCCTCAGATTTAAATTTTAAATTAAATTTTTTTGGTTTGTTTTCAAGCTGCTGGGGCTGGAATTCAAACTGTGGTTGGCTGTATGGTACCCAACTCCCAAATGACAGTGCTTAAACACTGTGCTTTGGGGCTGGCCCTAAATTAATAATTTTAAAGTCATACTGACCATTAATTAAAATGGAAAGGCACCTTTTTTTTTAATTAAAAAATTTTTAATTGCCACAGGGTACATGTACTCTCTAGAGAAAGAGGTACATGTGTACTCTCTAGAGAAAGTGTC